CCTCAAGCACGGTGCATTAATATAGTGTATAGACCGAGTAATCGGGATGAATAAAAGTGAACATTCATAATGGGCCACGAATAAAATCCCCTTACTTTACACCGTATAAACAAGCTAGGTAAATCCCGTGCATTCCAAAGAAAAAAAATTCCTCGTATTTAAGAACTGTAAGAAATTAATTCCATAAATAATCCTTCAGCTTAGTCCTGATGATGCTACGGTCTATGTAGCGAAAGTGTCGGCTAAAATGTTGTACTATCAGTTTGGGGTTCAGTGTTTGGTGCCCTGAATCATGAATCGTTCAAACACTTATTTTCATAACTCCATACGCTTCACCGAACTTAGATGTTCTTCCAATTATCTAAATAGCTTGTTACGAATTCAGGGAGGTAAGACATTTAACAGACGGTAACCTTGCACAGCAGGGTGGTAAACTACGGTAGAATAAATCTGACCTTGAGAAGCTGCTTCCCTTTCACCACCCGTTGGAATGACGAGCCTTAGTTAAGATCCTTCGTTAAGTGGAGGAAGAGTGGACCCTCACGATCTATGGCATCTCTGCAAAACAAAATGCGCAGCAATAACGAACTTCAGCAGTGGGGAGAGGTCGAAATGGCCTAACTGATATACAAACGCTTCAATTATTAAGAACAATTTAGACATACTTTCAAGAAATTCATTATCGATATAATGAAACATGAGTCTTGGACTAGTTCATTCAATTTGCGTTAGCCGTATGTGTACAATATTTTCATTTTCAATAAAAGATAAGATTTCAAATTTAACAAAGGTTAAAAAAATCCAAAATACTTTTTATCAGCCAGGTCCGGTCACGGAAAACGTGCTGATTAGTAAGATTAAATACATAATAAATTAAGCAGCAAAACTGAAAAATTTCAACGACACCATTTCTTTACACACAATGCAATTTGATGATTAAATACTTCATGTTTAAATCTGAATTCGAATTTTGGCTAACATCCAACAAAAGCGAAAGACCATTGTTCAAAAACTTCGCCAAAAT